TTTCCCCGATTTATTACAGCAGCTTAACTTAGTTTTTACTTTTATGCTGCCAACTTACACAGAAAAAAAAAGTATTTTTAATATAGGCTTTCTAATTGTCCCAAGAAAACAACCTGATTTAGAAACTGGGCAACAGTTTGTTGACCACAAATTTACTGCCATGTGTACAGCTGTCTCCCACCTCAAAGGGCTGAGTGGGATTCTAAATTCTGAATGGAATTATGCCTTGTACTTGGTGTAAGATGTCTTATGCTGGGCGTGTTAGGGTGCAGCATGCTCAAGTGTGATCCCTGCTCCATTTTGAAAGGAAAGTTGTTTTCCTAATTAGGCCTCAGAGGAGCTGACAGCTGGTGAATTGGCACATTGGACCCTGATCGCATGGTTCTGAGTAAGGGAAGTAAAAGCTCTGCGATCTGAAATTCTGAAAGAAAGGGACTCTCTTAGCCCTTAGTGGCCACACACAGCCCAGCACAAGGCCAAACATCACACACAGAGACCCAGGTCTGTGGAGAATGTTCTCTGTATCTCGGTGTCTCCAGGATGAGACAGTGAGGCCCCTTTCCTGTTATCTAATCTCTTTGTTAACTGACTGGGAATGGCAACATCTGTACCTTCTGATACATTCGCATGTGAATACAGTATTCAAACACTAAAGAATGGGTAGAATCACTAGGTTCACCTTGAATGGACAACAACTGCTTAAGTGAGACTGTGTTGTAACTGTGTCTAAAGATCTTACATGGCAGAATTTGATCATGACCCCTTAAGTCTCCCCTCCTCTTTGCACCCAGAAAAGGAAACAGAAGGCTGGGTAAAAATTCTCCATGCTAACCTAATTTTCATTATTATTTGAATATGTCATTAGTTTGAAGGTATATTTTGAAAGCTGAGATTCTAGATAACAATTCCCTCTTCCACATTTTAAGTAGGCTTGTGTCTGGCTAGTGAAATTAAATTGGTAAAGATTCATGATCTCAATTCTGTACCAGCTTCCACAAAAAGCATGAGGCTTTGAGGATAAGGGTAGAGAGAGGGAATCTCAGAAAGATGCAATCAATCGTAAAGTATCACAAACCCTTGCTGCTACTCAGGTGAATGGGAAACATGTAGACTCCTTTATGCCAAAAATAAATAGATAAGCTTAGTTTTCAAAATCACCTCAGAATTAGAATATGAAAAGACTGAAAACCTTTCCTTTCCCAAAAATCCAGTCATAAAAATTAACTATATTAAGAACCTATAACTAATGTAATCAACAATTCTTTTTAAAACTTCTTTCAAAGAGGAAAAATATATAAGTTTGAGACATCTCACTTGAAGCTTCAAGAATACTGTTTTCAGTTTGTATCCAAAAAAAAGGGGTGGGGGAGAAGAAATTGTATTCTGCTGTGTTGCCAGTATTCCCTGGACTGTGTGTGCATCTCCCCGTTGGTGCCCCAGTACACCAGCATATTCCAAAGAGAAATGGACCATGCAGAATAGTCATATTTTTTTTAAAGATTTATTTATTCATACAGAACTGGGGTACAGGCCAGAGATGCGGAGGGTGAGAGGATTCACCAGAGACAGAGCGGGGTACAGAACAGGCAGATCGCGAAGTACACTGCTGAGGGGAGCAGCGGGCGGGTCAGGAGAGGTCTGCCACGCCATGTGGTCACCTCCAGGGCAGGCGGGAATCGAACTCATGCGGAAGGGGCTTAAGCTTCTTTGTGCTGTGCTTTAACCCGCTGCGCCACCATGGAAGGCCAATTTTTAAAGGACAGTGTGGAGATAGTCACATAGATGCAGATTGTACCAACTTTCAGACATTTGAAAGGCATCTGCACACAATAACACTGTTCAAATATGTTTAAGTAAAACCTATTGCTTTAGGATTTTAGACTTGCATATTAATTATCCTGCTGTTGACAGGCGTAAATGTAGTCTAGTAGGCTGTTTCTCGCAAAGCTGATTGTGTCACTTTAATATGGCCAATATGCTCTCATGAGCATCTACTATTAAGTGGAATTTGAGATTTGTATGTTTTATGCTGAGTATGCTTATTGCAAAGAGTAAGTTTGAACCATGCTTTGGGGAGTACATTTCATTTTTATGATGTGCCTAGTCCACAAATCAAGACATCTGCAGGACTTTTTCAGAACCAAATGGCTGTCAAGGGTCATTCTCCTGGGTTACACCTCTTCCTCTAAACAGGGGTACTTTAGTACCTTCTCACCCCAATGATTCAAGTGGTCAAAGATTCATCACAACCTCTAAACCATCTTTATGCTTCTAAGAATATTGTTACATCTTCATGCCCAGGTCTTCCTGTCATGTCTTGAAATACTAAAGATCCAAAAACACCCTTAGCCAAGATAAAGCTCTCTCCGTGCTTATGGCAGGGAACATAGTCCAGGGATTCAGCAACTTGGACTCTCTAGGTATATACTTTCAAATACAGCCCAAAACAGAAAATTCAGTCTGACCTTCTCTCACATAGCCAGTCTCTCAAGCTAGTTGGATAACCTGAAAGATAGCATCAAGAGCTAGAATTAAAATGCACAGCCAAATCAGGTCACCCAGATTTTTTTGCATTCCTTTAATGACAGGGGAAGTATATTGTATGACATGCACACCACATCACAGTGGAATGACAGTGTCTCTGATGTTTCATTGTAACACAGCCATGTTCATTCACTGACATGTTGTCTAAGGCTGTTTTCCCTCAGTCAGCAGAATTGAGTAGTTGCTCTTGAGAACATTATGTGGCTCCAACAATATTTACTATCTGGTCTTTACAGAAATAGTTTGTCAATCCCAATGTAGAATGAAGGGTAACTCTGGAGTGAACAGAATCACAGAGTGTCTAGTCTCTCCCATAGAATACTAGTCCATTATTGTTTAATAACAACACATAAGCCCTTCAAAAAAATGAGAATTGTTTGCAGCTTTTATTGTGGTGATTGCAGTCATGATTTTTTTTTTAATTTAAAACAATAGAAGGCACAAAGTATTATTCATCCACACCAGGGGGGGGGGGAAAATGTGTGTCTGTGGTCATTATCCTCATAAAGGATATGAACAGTTCACTCAGAGCCCACTCAGGACTAGTCTCTCAGTTTGACTGTCAGTTCCCCTGCATTTTGTGTCCTGCCTGATGCTGGCTGGGGTAGGACAGGTCATTGATAGAGCCACAATATCTCCACACGATCAGAAACAAGTGGAAAAACTTAAAACAAAGGTATTAAATGAAAGGAACTAGGAATCCCCTTCAGCTACTATAAAGTGAGATTGGCTTTCCCATTTTTATTAGTGTAAAAAATAACTATTTGATTCCAGTATGAGCAGGGAGAGGTGGGCAGAAGTAAAGATGAATAAACTAGAGAGAACATATTTAAGTTGACCTTCTCTTTCTCAATTAATGCTTCAGATACAGTGGAAAGTATAAATAGTTCCCTCATACTTAATGCTATTTGGCAACCAAATGGCTTGAATAGTCCCTTAAGATCTTTGAACAATAATACTTTATTCACTCAGAACTATAATGTATGTGCTCATTGTAGATGATAATGTGCCCTTAAAAGTGCTTCTAAGTGTTTGGCCCTATATGAATTGACTTAGTGAGTCTGTACTTAATATGATGATGAAAAATAGTACCATCCTCAAAACAATCATTTTTTTGGTTGACTCTGGAAAATTTTTAACTCATTTTTACCAACAGTGACATTTCTATCCCTGTTGTGAAAACATCTATGAAAACTGACCTTTAATCCTTTGTATTGTCTTATTTTCATCATTATAAAGTTATTGTCTAAAAGGTTACCATTTGTTTTCAATGAAGATCTTCCTGGAGAAAAAGCTCCTAGCAATCAATTACTCAATCAACAGGTATAAATAAATACCTGTCACAGTTCTATGATAAGTACTGTTGCCGAATGAAAAAAAAAAATTGTTAATAAGAATCTTTCCCCTTCAGATATCTGCCACATTGAAAAGGCAAAGTACATATATATGAAGTATATATAAGCTTTTATTCACATGATATTTTAAGCACATGCTTGAACTAAAAGTTCTGTAAAAAAGCTCTGTAAGAATGTGATAAACAGAGGCAAGAGCTTTCTTCAAGAACAACATACATTGAATAGAAACAAAAAGCAAACCATTGCTTATGTCAGCATTAATGGCTCAAAGAACAAAAAAGACAAGACTATATATAGCCATGTGTTTTGCATAGCTAGGTTAAAGCCAGACCAAGGAAGTCATCCATCAAAAGCAGAAACCTGATGACTGGAAATAGTTATTAGACTTTTGTTAGTACTTATTCTACTATAAGTAGAATGTTAGTAACATTCTACTAATGGTAAGGATGAGGAGTCCTCAAAAGAAACAATGAGTCAAAAATAAATGTCCAGGAGTAAAGATGAGAAAGATGGTTAACAATTACTGGAGTATTTGTTACAGTTCCAGTCTGGCAGCATGGGGGCTTCAGTTTCTAATACACAAAGTTTGAATTGTAGATATCTAGAAATAGCTCATATTAAACTGTAAGATTGGAGGTGCAGATTTAGATACTCTCCTCTGGAATTGGTAACTACTCTAGTTTAGTATATGACCCACTGAGGAAGGAATGAAGAAGAAATTAAAGATAAATCTTGACAGTTCTATGTTCATCAAGGGACAGAGAAGAAGAAATCAGATATTTTGAAAAAACAGAAGTTGCATCATCACACAAGATAATGGTGGTTTTCAAGGAGATTCATCAAGAAGCATCCACACACCCCATACTCAGAAAGAATGTACTGAAGAGATTAAGGAAAGCCTTTGAGGATAAGATCACTTATAAACATAGTTTTAACATTGGGATACACATTCGATTGCCCAGGCTCCTGCCTCAGTGGAGCTTTCTGCTCCTACTGTAATAAAATCCATTACAATTAATTTTTAATTCTCTTACAGGATCTGTATTTGTTCCCTGATTTGTATTTTCATTTTTGTTTTGTTATTCTTTTTAAATCCACTAGGAATTTATCTTATTTTGCTACACAGAGTAGCCCATCTGCTGTCATTTTGAACCTGTGGGAAGCTCGTCATCAGCACGATGGTGACCTTGACTCCCTGGCCTGTGCCCTGGAAGAGATTGGGAGGACACACACAAAACTCTCGAACATTACAGAATCGCAGCTCGACGAACCCGACTTCAACTACAGCAGGCAAAATGGACTCTAGTCCACGTCGTCTCCTGAGAGTGATGGCCAGCTTCGGGACACTTGCTTTAAATGGGAAAGAAAGAGGCAGCTTTCTGCCCAGTGGGATTTGGGGAATTCAGGCTTCATTTACAATCAGTGAGAACCCCTGGTTGAAGAAACTACATTTTATATAGGTAAAATATGTTAATAGGGCAAAGTACAAGTTCTCTTAACTATCAGAGGGCTCTGCTGCCTCCTCTGACGTATCCACACTGGGGCTAACATTTGTTGAATGCCTCAGATTTGGAGTGGCAAGGAGAAAGAGCGAGGACATAGCTAGGTAGCAGTGACTATGGGGAAAATGAGCTACAATAAAGCTGGGAAGACAGAGGATGAATAAGTGCATGTTTTCTAACAGGTTTTTAATGATGTGGCCCAAAGAGCCAGCTGATTCTGTGACCAGATTGTCAGAGTTTTCTACCAACAGGCATCCATGATGTTGGCAGTCGTTGTTAAAACTGGCTTTTAGAAGTGACAAACGGTTGCCAACCTCTTTGTGTGACCTTAGCAACATTAAGAACACTTGGAGTTTAGGATCTGAGTACATCACACCAGCACCAATACCCTATCTACCCTAGCCACTCAATGGAAACAAGACTTGGAGGTAAGCTAGACTACAACCAGTCCTTGCAGTGTCTACCATCTTTTTTTTGTCAGAGGCAAATCTACCCACATTTTTTCTTCGCCTTCCTTCCCCACTACAGTAGAGGTTTCTAGATGCATAATCAGACTGTTCAGTATGGAAAAGTATTTCTCATAATTAAACAAAGATGGAACACCTTACACCCATCTAAGTCACTAAATTGTAGACTGAGTTTATAACAAAGCTACGAAATAGATTTGAAGACTAATTCAAATCTGATCCAAGGAAACTTAGGAAGTGTTGATGTCACAAAGAAGCTGCAATTCTAATATATAGTTGTTCCAGTTTTCCCAAAAATCATTGTTATTTGGGGAAAGGTGTTTTACTATACTTTTCAATCTAGGTTCTTGGTGTTTTCTTGTCTTTTGGTACTGTTATCACCAAATCGCTATAGAGCTATAAGTCATCTCTTTTTGCCTCTTGAGAAATTCACAGATAGACTTTGCTCTAATGACATCCCAGTAAATAGATCTGAGGAATACTTCTACCACCATGTCCAAGAACCACAGGCATTATTGAGGGAGCTTTCAAGCTCTGATTACTCAATCTCAACAAGCTTTCTCCACAGAACCATTCTGACATGGTTTTTTGTTTCAGAAGAGAGATAATTAGATTGTAGGGAATTAAGTTCCACAGTAAATCATGATCTCCATCTTAACATTTCAACTTTTCTCCCGTTAAATCCTTTTTGAAAGGATGACCTGGTAGACTAAGGATGAATGGATCTGTCCCTGCTCATCTTCTGGTGGATGTTTTAATTAACCATCCACAATCAGGGCAGCCCAGCCCTAGGACCTAGATTAACCACAAGGCAAATCAGCTAGTTGAATATCAATTAAGCTAGAATAAAATTGGTCAGGAAATGAGAGAGATGAAGAATACTCAGTAGTGGGGATATGATCAGTTTTTTGTTTTTTTTTAAACAAAGTTTTTGCAAGTCCAAGTTTAAAGAAAAAATCTTATAAATCTCCACCTATGTGAAAAACACCTAAATATTAGTTGGATTATGATATTATGGTTAAGACATTGAAGAACTCTTAAATGTTGGTCATTTTCTCTAGTATGTGGTATAAATGGTCTCCTATATTTGATAGAAGGCTTTGCTACATGAAATTCAAAAGCATCATGCTTTTCTCAGGAACCAAAGGCATATTATATGGCATGAAAAAGTCCTCTTGGAACTATCATACATTTTCAAAATACCGTATCTAAATCAGGTGAACATCCTTTGCCAGTGTATTCAACTTGTTTATTTCTCCTAGGAAACAATGGAAACCATATAAAGTGTTAATCATTTAACATCCCTGATATAGTTTCTGGAATAGAGAGAAGTAGAAGTAGATGGTTAACCTCCCAAAATAAGTGACAAAGTGTTGTTTACCATGGGTGGTATATAGAAAGAATAAGCACTAACTATTGGATAAGAATTTATAGAATTGACAGTATAGAGCTTCAGTTAGTATCTATCTTGGAGGATTAAAAAAATAAAACCACCTTACCATTTTTTTCTTCTTCCCTTCTAATTGGTTTTTATAATAGCTTCATTTTTTTTTCTGTGCATCCACACAGATCATTTTTAGAGTTTAAGACAAATGATAACTTTAATTTCCCTAGAGTAGATCTAGATTATTCCAGGTAAGGTTATCAATTTGTGAGTACCTAGAATTTCCTCCCATAGATTTTTCTTGGGGCTGTCCTATTGAATGACAAAGGTAGCAAATTAACATGACTCATCTGTGATTTCAGCACAAGGTTCAAACACTTCATTTTGTTCCTTCTTTACATTTATCTTCTGTTAGTATCATACATAGGATTTCTACAGAAATCTATGAAGTCCTGTGGACATTGCATGTTTATATCACACAGTATTGTACAGTAGAATTCCAAAGAGAACCCATGTTTGTGAGATTTATGGGCCAAGCTGTATGTATGTTTGTTTGTGGTAGAAGCATGAAATTGCAGGTCACTCAGATTTAGCGGACATTTGAACTTAGGGCTACTCACTGTGACACAAACCCTTTTTCTGTTTTAGTATTAGCCTGCCCCCACACAGATACCCCTCCTAGAAAGAGATTTATTATCAAGCAAAAAGTCTTAGTGCAAAACGAACCAAGAAATTAAAAGTGGTCTTTAATAACTTGGCAGGTTGCTTAAAATTTTTACAAATATTCCACTTAATACCAAATCTTTCAGTCCTCAAATGTATTTAAGTCTAATGGTCATGCTTCAAACATGACTTAAAATATGCCACCAAAATGGTGCACTTCACAGCTTCCCAAATTGCAGTATCATAAAGTTAATTTACAGTTTTTATAACATTGCTTGTGCAGTCTTACTGGTTTACATTAAACTCTTTTAAGCCAAGAGGAAGTTCACTTTATGAATTTAAATGCAAGCTTCATTTACCGGTGTAGAAAGTATCATAAAACTCAGATGTGTGCCCACAAAAATTTTACTGACCTTTTTTGTAAGAGATGAATAGGAATCGACACAGTTCTCTTTAAAGAAAGGAACTATCCTCATTTTTATCTCTAGTTGCAGACATGTTATCTTGTATGATGGTCCCTTTTGGTTTCCTTTAGGAAGGGACATTAAGCCAAATTGCTAAAACTGGGTTCTCTTTGGATTCAAAGTTTAAGTTTATTGCAAATATTTTCATAGACAAATTTGGACATTAAAACAGCATATTTGGTTTTAAATACTATCCTCTACTTGCCAATCTTCTGGCAAAATACATGAATTTCAAGATATTATATTAGCTTTTCCTGTGTTTTTTTTTTTTCACCGCTTTTCAATCTCTTAGACCCTCTAAGTGTTGAATAATATAGCTATCAGATGTATTGAAGATAAAAGTTGTTTCAGAGGTCTTTGTTCCAGATCTGTGAAGGTCACAGGAACCATATGACGGTACTGAGAAACTTGCTTCTCAGGTCCACTGTGTGGCTCATTTTCATTAATTTCCCTCATGAAACATTGCGACGTTCTGAATCCTTAGTAACTCCCATTATCTGGACTAGCGGTGACATACACAGCAAATGGGAGAGCAAAATGTTGTCCTACAGATGTGACAAAATTTTATTAGCCCTTTGGTGTTAGTTGCCATAGCACTGTATTTGAAAATTGATGCTTTAGCCACAAGTTGAATGGCCACTTTCCGCAGTTTCCACTGTTTTGTCTGCATAGAATTTTCCTGAACTACAAGCAAAAATGTGTTGTCAAATGTCACAAAGTGAAGATGTTACTACTCTTAGATGTGTTGCATATTTTGTTTTTACTTTCCAAACTCTTTCAAAAGCTGCAGTTACAAAGCTGTTTGGCTGTATTGACAGCATGTGGTGTTTTTCGCAAAAGCAATTCTAGGAGAGCCAGTGTCTACCTCAGACCCTTCACATCCCCACTCCAGGGGCAACAAGATCCGAATGGCTATTTGTACGCTGTCTGTTTTTTCACAGGATAAAAGGGGATGCAAACCAGACCTGGCCATTAGTCACTAGTGTGTAGTACTGTGATCTGAAATAGGAAATTTAACTCACATAGAATAATTGTGGTTTTTGAAGCAGCTACTTTGCTTTTTTTCCTTTTGCTGTGAAGATCATGGATTTGGAATGTCCTCATGAGGTGGGCCTAAGACAATAACAAAACCTGCATGTCTTAGAATCCACTCTCCATCTGAACCCAAAGGAAAAAAAAAAAAAAAAGGCGGTAAGCTTCATGTTTAGGCCTATACTGCAAAATTTCCTCCTCTGCCCCTAATATTGAGTTTAGTAAGAAGTGCATCTTTTCATCCCCCAAAAAATTATAGTCTTGAATTATGAAAGTAATCACCAAATTTAATACCATCAATTTTTTACTAAAATGGAAGTGGTCAATATTTTACATAAGGCATGATAGCAATGAAAATATCTTTTTGCTTCAATTTTGTTAACCTCACAAAATATTTACATCAAATTCCAGAACTGAAAAATATAATTCCCTTAAAACCTGATAGATAATAGTAGATAGGTAGAGATTTAATGGATTCTGTTGAATCATGAAAAGGGATGATTGTTGAGGGGTCTATAAAAAGAACATCATGCCTTTTGACCCCATTACTGAAACAGACTTTACAGTCAGAAAAAAAGATAATAATTCTAATATCCTTCCATTAGTGAGTTTTGGTGATGGTAAAGGGAAATAACCCTTTACCAGGAGGCTTTGATCTACCCCTCATTAGAGGAAAACTTTAAAATGTTCAATTGGAAACCCTTTCCAAGCTTTGTCTTAGCCTATATTGGCTACTCCCATCCAAACTTTTTATGAAGGTGGGGGTTGGGGTAGAGGGAAAATCAGTTTGTGGGAATTTTCTGGTCAGGAAAACAATTTTTCTCCCCTGAAATAAAGACTTGCTTAAAATCTTTCATTCTTCATAATTGTTTCTAATTGATACAGGCAATCCAGTTAAGTCTTGACCTAGAAATATTGCAAATATAAGCAAATAGAGGAAAACTGGCTTATTCTCCTGACCCAAACTCAAAATATAATTTTTTACTTCCATTTCTGTATGGAAGAGTTTTAAAACAGATTTCATTTTGTTCTGTTTATTTTGGGAAGGTGTGTGGGTGGGGGGGGGTGTCTTTCAAGTGATTCATATCTCAAAACCCATACCACTCTCAACTTTTATTTGATGTGTTCAAAGCTGGAAAAAAAAAAAAGCAAAACTGAACACTTAATTTGACATGAAGCTGAAGGAGTGAGCAAGCCAGAGCTGAGAGTTTAAATAAAGCATGGCCTTGGCTTCATACCACACTTTTTGTGCCTTGTATTATCAATGTAAATTCTGAATGTTGTACAGTAAATACTTGGATGGACTTCTTAGAAAAGGCTGCACTGGCTTCTTTTTCAGCACATGTACAGATCTATAAATATATATACATATATATTTGGTAATGCCAAACAGCTGTGTTATATTGTATTGAACAAAATGGACAGTTTGGATGTTTTATGTAGAGTTTGCAAAAAAACTGGATGGTTACAGACTTTTCAAGATAAATGTACAGAAGTAAATTACTGCATACCAGTTATTTATGAATAAAGAGTCTTTTATTGACATTTTAGGATATTCCATGAGTGAAACTTTGACATCCCAAATCCCAGTGAGGACCAGTTTTGTGCTCTTCCTGCCAGCTATGGCCTAACAGGGGCTGGAATACACTCCACATCAAATACAATTTCCAAATACCTGTTACCATACTGAACCTGATTTTTTCCTTCTGGCCTCTTGGATGAACCACTTGCTATGAAGTAAAGATGAGATTATCATCTGACATTTCCACCCCACCTAACATATATAGGTACACAAATGCTCACACACACACATACACCCCTGTCATGGGGTTATAATTTTATGTATGTGAGCTAATCAGTCTTACCATCCCTGGGTTGCTATTTACCTTATTCATCAGAATGCTGGAGTTATTTTTACAGATTACATAGATTTTTCTGCCAATCCCTGAGGAAATTTTAAGAAAATAAATACAAAGTTGCATCTTGACTAATTGAACCTGCTCTGAAATAGTTTTTAAAAGGCTGCAAGTTCCCAAGAATTTAATCATAACTACAAAGAGCTGATCAGAGCCAGTTTAAACAGTATGATCTATTCAGATGGTTTCTGATCTCTTTAAACAAGTTACAAGTTAAAGAGTCAATGTTTATTTAAACTATTATTTTCCAAAATACCACTTCCATAGAAATATTTTTCTTCTTCAAATAGTTGAGAGACACTATGTAGAGTAAGATACAAATCATTCTGTACGCTATATTCTAAAAAAAAAAAAAAAAAAGATCTAGCTCAAGCTCATGCTTACAACATCTCTCTATGAGGGAAATCTATGCAACATATCCTGAACTTTCCACCATGTCACTCTTTTTCCAGATCTTATAGGACTAGTAGCATGGGTATAAATACCCACTAGAATGATTGCATGTGGTTCCTACCATCTTAAGTTCAGAATCACTCTAAAACTGAATAAAATATATGTAAGTTACTGGTAAAATGAGAATTGATTCTAATTAAATTAGGCAAATCAATATGGTTATTCAAACATTTCAGATCTTTGAATAGTTAAGAGCAAGTAAATCTAATTTGAATTGGTCAAATATATTTTAATTAGAAAATGGCTAGGATTGTCATAAAGATACAGTTGGAACTATCTTGTCTTGGTGAAAACAAACTAGCTTATACCTTTAAAAAAATTTCCAAACTTCTCTCATTAGAAACTAAGTCTGAGTGGATTAAAATGCGTAGGGCCAGTTTATATTCTATGTATCCAACATTGTTAAAATTTGGTTAAACTTTAATAGGGACTATTCATTCAAAAACGAGTAACTTATTATGTAGTACATGCTAGAATCTGGGTTCAAATCTGTATTTGTGTCAGGCAATATGCATAACATTTCAATTTCTACAACAGAGATAACAGACTTAAATTCTTTCAAAATCGGATGATTAAGTGAAGAAAATACCTTTAAACCCTTTAGCACATTGCATGGTATTTAGTAAGTATCCATTGTGTTTTGAATTTTTATCTCACTTTAGAGAGGCATAGTAGTTAATGTGTTCCGAGAACAGAGGCTGGGGTAATCCTGGCCTTGAGCAAGAAATCTTGAAAGGTGATCATCGTATCAAGAGAGAGGGCTCAAAGTAAATAAGATAAAGTATGATGACTAAACACATTCAACTGTATTTGGCTCATTTGAGTTCTAAGCTTGAGACCTCTTAGAGCATTCTTTTTATGTCAAGTGACATGACAAAGGGTTAAAAATGTACTGAACT